AAAAAGCTTGTAAATGGTCTACAGTTTAGTACTTCACCTGTGAAGTAGAACTTGCAAATTTTTGACGCTAATTTAACCTAATTGAGAGAGGATATCAACCCGACATTGTCCCCTCAGCCAGGACTCAAATTCGGATTCACTGGCTTGCTGCTACCTCAGTGTAATGGCTGCTACACCATCGTGTACGGAAATATTGATAAATGTACACGAGCAGGGGGGCGTGGCGGACCACACCCACGTGTGTGGTGAGCTGCACCACCTGATGAGCGTCCCGTAATGTTGCCAAGTATCCTCCTCCTCCCCCCTCACTTCCCGCCATCACCTTCAAATTATTGGCGTATGAGATGTTGTGACGTAGTGCGCTTCTATTGGTTCAAATTAGGCAAATATTATCGGGTAATACGTGAGTTCCCCCACGTAGGATCTGACTGACGTTAAGACCACACGGCGTTAGTCACCGGAAGGAACATTCTTTTATCAACATTACTAAAGTATATTTTTAGATGCACTGTATTCAGCCAGCCCAGTGTGTACCTCCCGGGCCCCTGTCATTATGGTATTAGTGCACCAGGATGATGTCTTCAGTTTACCCACCATAGTTTATATTTTAACCAACCATAAGACCCTCGTTCGTATTGTAAATGATATTATTAGAATATTAATCTGAAATCAAATTTAATCAGAATGGACTTCAAATAATGTCGCGTGACTGAACTACTGTATATCTGAGTATCTGATTTTAGAGGGATTAAACCGTTTGTGGTCTCTCGTAGTGCCCTGTGGTTCGTTCCGACTAAAATCAGACTTTCTTCAGTAATGTTTTTGGCTACATAGCTGAAGTACCGAAGACGATCAGAGGGCAGTATCATTGATGGTGGTGGTGTAGCGAGTACTTAAACGCATTTACTTTTACTTTGACTTTTACTTTTATTCTCTTCACCATGTTGTAGATCTGTAACTCGTTTATTAAGGCAGTATTTATCAAGATAAGTAATTAACACGATAATATTACATCACTACAACTTACACACTACTAACCAGTATTTTCAAAGTGCCGGGGAGGAGGGAGAACGGTCTTTGTACACAGTAAGGCGGCAAGCGTAGTGATCCCACACAGTTCTGGGGTTGAGGGACTGTCCAATTTCAGGGATATTATGAGGTCATGTGCACTGGACGTGTTCTAAGGTCAATATTAAGAACAATATTTCATCCCGTTGGTTTATTATTCAATCGATATTTATGTTAGGAAGACTGAACAAACAGTTTGTTCCGGTCATCTCTGGCACATTTTGGCGATTTTATTTTTTGCAAGTGGCAAAGGGGTGGGGGATGACGGGCCAACTTAAGTATGAATAACTTGTTATATAAAATAGAATAGTGATAATTTTATTTAGAATACCCTTTACACTTTTACGTTTTCTTTAAATAAAACTTTATATTTTATGGGAAACTACTGTATAATTAGATTTGTTTATTTCGATAAGTATTCTGATAGATGGTTACTCGTTAAGACTGCATGAATACAAATATGAGAATACAGATTGGTACTATTATATACTATAGGAAATATATCACAATTATATACAGCTGATAGACAAATAAATAGACAGATAAAGATCGTTACTTATTCACATTGACTCAGCATGAACATTGACAGTGCGGAAAATATATGATTCACAGTACATAAACAGTGCAGGTATACAAATGATAATATACAGCAAGTTTATTCGGCCAAGGGTCTTTACAACACTTCATCGTGAAAATAACGGATACATGTGTTAAAAGTTCATTCTAAAACGACTTGAGAATATTTCCGCTTTGGTGTACTGTATAATATGAGCTTTGAGAGAGAGGTTCAGATACGTTACACTCTTAACAACAGCAAACCTCCACTTATGAAGGATACATTTATCACGAGGAAGATTATCTCATAAGAAAATGCTATATGTCCGTACTCCGTTTGCTAGAAATAAACATATAATGACTTTGTTAGGCTTTCTTGGTTGTATCATTTATTGTTCATCATTGTATACCTGCACCCTCTATTATACGAGTACATTGTTGTATACCTGCACTGTATGTACACATTCCTTGTATACCTACACTGCATATGTATATGCTGAATCAATGTGAACTTGTATGGCTATCTATATATCTATCTATCTATCTATCTATCCGTGTTTTTCATAATTCTCATCTTAGTATTACTTGAAAGACCATAATGGAAACAACCTCTAAACAGCTTTCATGTACTACCTACATTGCTTGTATACTTGTATATATTGTTTGTACACCAGCACTACGTACACCTGCACTGACCACACACACACACGGTACAACAAACTAAATTGGAAACCACACGTCAGTGAAGTTACCAAATCCTCCAGTTTCCGTCTCCACCTCCTCCGCCGACTCAAGTCCCTCGGAGTTCCTGCACACGAGCTCCTCAGTGTTTACACAACATTCATACTTCCCAAGCTCATCTATGCCTCCCCTACCTGGTCTTCCTCCCTAAATGCCACACAACGTAAACACCTAGAAAAAGTGCAAAAGAGGGCATGCAGGATTATTCTCTCCCCTTCCTACTCCACATATCAAGAAGCGCTCAACACACTGACCCTTTCGACTCTCACTGACCATCACCACGACCTCATCTGCAAATTTGGTAAGAAGCTTCTACACCATCCCCGACACCGGCTCCTACTACCACCTGAGATCCCTAGTCCGAGAATTGCTGTTCGACACCACAACCGCATCCAGCACATACGTGCATGAACTGATCGCTATAAGAACAGCCCAGTCCCAACCATTGTAAAAATTATCAATAACTTGTAATAAATCAGTGTATTCACTCCCAGTAAACACTACTCCTTGCACTGTCACTATGTTGAAATGAACTGTAGTTTGAGCTTTTCCCCATCTAGTTATTATATGTCTTATTTGTGTCACTTATGTTACTTGTATATTATTTGTAATTCGTAACCCATTCCCCAAATATGTAACTGTATATTTTCAGCCTTCTGGCTGCCAAGCTCTTTCAATAAACCGTTAATTATTATTATTATTATTATTATTATTAAACTTGTACAACGACTCCACCGAGCAAACATCCATTCATCTAACCTAACCTTGACTAACCTAACGATGATAAGACATACCCGATTATCTCACTACATAATTATATTTGGAGCCGGTCCCTGTGTGTATGTGTGTCGAATGTTTAAAAGCGTAAAGTTCCTACTTAGATTATAAGATATAAAGATTATACTTAAACTGCCCAGGGACCTCCACCATATGTGTGAATATGTATCTCACTTACACTTTAATTTCATGTGTTTGATTTTTGTTCTTGTTATTATATACGGCGGTAATGTTGAAAAACCCTTCATTTAATTATTCACATGAAGAACCAAAAAAATATTCAAATATGTCATCTTTTTCCTTTCCTTACGGTTGTGCGATAATTTTACGGACATACGATAATGTTGCTGCTTTAGTATATTAGGATATTATACTGTTATTTTGTTATACAGAATTATTTAAATTAATTTTATTGTCTGCAGTATCGTACACCTTTCATCATAGTGCGCAGCCTGTATTTCTCTTATCAAAGACTTAGGAAAAACAATAGTAAGATATTGCAATCTTTCCACCCTTTTCTTTGGAATTTCTAGAGATAAGAAACAGACCTTGTTACATTATATCTTGCGGTAACTGAGAATTGAATGGTTCTGGAGAAACCTAACCTAACCCCGAGCGAGAGACTCGCTTAGCCTAGTGCAGTATCTTGATCAACACGAAAACCAACGCGACGAAATTTGTTGTACGGTTAGTCACGGTGCAAAATTTACATTAAACCTGATTTAAGAAATTACTTTACCCAGTTTGTGGAACACTTTCTAAGAAATTATATATTAGGACCGACTGTGAATCGATAATACAAGGACCTTTTAATTTTTATTATCGACAAGAAGAAAATAGTCTGTGTAAGAAATATAAGCAAATTATAAAAATATAAATAACCACAAACAGCTAAATTATCAACCCGGATAAAATAGTCCTCAGCCACCCTACTAGGTCATGTAATATGTAATAACCAAGATCAAATCGGTCAGGAAGGAGTCGTTCCTATTAGCTTTACATAAATGAATCTCAGTGACCACTTTTTCACAGAGGGAAAAGGTCAGGGGAAAGATAGGACAACAGAAAATAATCAAAACATGGTCAATGAAAAATTGTAATGAAGTGTTCCAAAATAAACTACAAAATATTCATTGGTCTTCTAACGACATAGCTTTCATAGAGGTAAACGAGGCCTCGGGGAAATTAACAACTACTTTTACTAATGTTCTTGACGCAGCATAATTAAAGGTGACAAGGACAAAAACTAGAAGCGAACTTTAGATGACTAGCGAGATACTAGGAACCATCATACACACACAACTAGCTCGCGAGATTAAAAGAGACATGGCAAAATGAAGTAAAATAATTTCCTAGGGTAAGAAACAAAGTAGAGTTAAAATAATAAAATAGACCCCTACAAGAACACAGGTATTAATAACATCCATGTTTTAAATTTAATGGATGGTGCCACTGTATTAAATGGATTAGATAAGTAGGTAAACAAATATTCTTAAATTATCCCTAAGATTCTCGTTTTCTTATTTCTTTTAATGAAAGAAAATGGTAAATATTGTATGGGATTCTATTGGGGATTTTAATTATTTTGTATACTGTACTGTACTCGTATCATTTCACTACTTTTAAGCTTACTAGCCATTCGTGCGATGGTGTGTTACTATTTACTATACTATGACTTTTATAATTCAATGTTAGTATAGAAGGAAACTGATGTAGCCGGAGAGGAAACCTGTGATATTTGGTCGGGTCACAGTGGCTAACACCCTTCTCACGTGTGTCCCAAACCGGGGATTGTAACCAGTACATTTAACAGTAAGAGTTATTGTGTAAAGTAAAATATATAACACAAATATGCCTACCTTTATAGTTGTTCCCTTTATCTGGACAGTGAGAGGTGTTAGGGAGACGTGTGATGACGATGATGATGACCCCTCTCTCACATAATTAGCATTTTCTTGTAGAGTATTAACGTGCTTCAGCAAGTGGTAAGGTCAGCTCATGTAGTAAACAACATTATTATCCTCTCCACTTTATTACTTCTGGACTGCAGTTCTTCCTGTCGTTTAGCATCTGGATGAAAATAAATAATAATAATAATTAATAATAATAATAATAATAATAATAATAATAATAATCATAATAATAATAATAATAATAATAATAATAATAATAATAATAATGATAATAATAATAATAATAATAATAATAACTAGCCTAATTACTCTCTTAAAGACCTCAGGTATTGTAGTACAGTATTAATATTATAACATCAAAGTCAAGGAAAAAAATTTTAATCAATAACACGAGAAATTAGGCAGTTCAAAAACTGCCACCGTCCAGGCCCAAGCTTGACACTGCGCACCACCTGTCACAGGTCGCAAACACCAGAACCGTGACAAACAAGTTACAACTTGAAGTTAGTACTTCCTCAATGGCTTATTATTCAAAACAATTTAATTGTTTTGATAAATAAACGATTGATTTTCTATAGAAACTTAATTCACTACCCGTTTCGCGAAAAAAAATTTGCGGCGCTAACGGAATTGCAAATAAATTGTTAGCGCTACTTAATCTTATTTTCACTTTTCCCACCGGACAGCAGGACGGATGAGAGCCGAGTTAGAAGTTCTGTGGCGATTTATAAATTTTTCATTGTTTTCACTTTACACACCAAGTATAAAGCAGTATTTACTTTACCTTATTACAGAGGTCTTCTGTTATCAGCCAATGGTCGGGCTTACAGCTGGTGTTCTGGCCTTAATTTCATTATTTATTTAAGACAGCTCGTGCTGCTGTCATCACCTGGTCGGCAATTGGTCAACTGACGCTTATTCAGGCGTGCAGGTCCTCCGCGGTATCATCTGGCCAATCACAGTGGCTGAGAGGAAGCAAACTACCGAACAACAAGTTCGGTAGTTCACCTTCGTCGTTGCTGAGGTTAGTAACACCTGAACTAATAAACTTATAAACGACAACTGTTCACTAAGCAAATTCTATGAAATACTGACACGCACTCAAACTCACTCACACTCTGATGAACTCACACACACACACACACACACACACACACACACACAAACACACTTTCCAAGCCTCACAAACACCCACACAGCTTCACACACATACACACACATGCACTCACAGGCTTACGCACACTCACACACACCCGTCACGCTCATATAGCCACACACACACACACACACACACACTTCACTGCCTCACACACACACACACACACACACACACACACATTCTTACGATACTTTAAACACAGTCACAATCTCACTCACTCAATCCCTCACAGCTACTCACTCATACACTCCTACAATCCCTCACAGCTACTCACTCATACACTCCTACAATCCCTTACACTCTCACAGCCACTCACACTCACCTCAACATCACATGTGCTGTCAGCGTTATCATCAGTCGTGTTCACACTCAACACTGATTTCCTGTGTGTGGGGCTGTCAGAACTGCCGACATAATAATTCACGCATATTTCTTCTCTTTAATCATTGTTGTAACTATCATTTATATTATTCATTTATATATCTGTGTATGTTTTTTTCCTCTTTTATTTAAGTTTATTTTAAACTCGATAGTGAATAAAATCAGTCAATTTTACGTTATTCTTGTATGTGTAACTTTGGCGAGTTACCTCAAATCGTCGGTTGAAATATAGTAAACAATTATCTAAGCTATTGTTTATTTATTTTACTTGTTTATAATTGTTTTTACGGCTGATTAGTTATATCTCATATTAGTTCCTTTATTTTTTTCTAACAGATTATTGATTTTTTTGTATATAAAATAGATTTAATAAATGATGATTAGTAACTAGAACAATCTAGTATCGTGGCGAGTGTTGAGAGAGACTGTGGACTAGACAGTGTATATACCAGAGTGCGTGAGGGGGGAAGTTCTGCTAGTTACACTCTCCGTCATAGGATTAACACCATTCCACAGGTAGGTTCCTTAACACTACATCAATGTTGACTATGTTACGTGACTTTATAGACGTATTGTGCTGTAGATTTCTCAGGTTGTTTTACACTGACAGAACAGATCGTTTCCGTTTTGTTCGTTCAATTACTCGCTGTATTTTTAGTTGCTCTGAAAGAATTTGATAAAGAACTTTATTCCTCATTCGTGGCTGTTTGGAAATGAGACACTTAACTGTGTTTTACTGTACATGCTGCGTAAATCAGGTTAATCAGTATTTATATGGTCAGAGGGATTTTTCCACTAGTCTGTTTATCATCGCATTCCTTATACGACTGTGTACCTGTGCTACCTGTAACGTACGGGGAGACTTGTTACCGATGAGTCAGTGTAGGAACCGGAGCGATCACACCTGTGGGGACTGCAGGTGTGTGTGTGGGGGGTAGGGGGGGGCTCATTCTGCCAGCCTAGTTGTTATGTATGGGGGGGGGGAGGGTAGTTGTCATCGATATGTCTGCCCTCACAACGAGTTATTTAAAGAAAATGTTGTATTGTAGAAATTAAAGCCGAATTCTTGGTGCTTGAAAGTTCTTGTAGTTGAAGAAATAATGTGTTAGTGTCTCCTTCACTGTTTCTTCACCACTACAGGTTAATGACTTTAAACACTAGGTTATCATCCATCTAGTTACGTGAACGAGGATTTGCGACATTGTTTATCATTCTCCCGCGAGTAAGTCATGTTTACAGGGTGTTTACAGAGTTCCTTGATGTTTGTGTTTACAGAGGAAGTGACTATTTCCATTTACAGACTTCATGGATGTTTATGTTTACGTACTAGATCACTTGTTGCTAAAATCTAAACGCCTCACCATACCTCTGTACCATGCCTCTGTACCATACCTCTGTACCATACCTCTGTACCATACCTCTGTACCATGCCTCTGTACCATACCTCTGTACCATACCTCTGTACCATACCTCTGTACCATACCTCTGTACCATACCTCTGTACTCAAGAGGGACGGGAGAATCTGTAAGAAAAACACGAAAAATAGTTATTTATAATCCATCGTCCTCAAGGTAATGTAAACACAAACACCAAGAGATTTTGTAACACCCTGTACATGTCTATTTGTGGTAAGGAGGGGGGGGGGAGAGGGGGTCGTGATATACACCTGGCCATAGGGTTGAATGGCACGACTTACCTACACGAACGTGACTATGAGCTGTTTGGTAGTTAGTATCAGGTGCAGTTTATACCAGGTTAATCGAATCATGTGAAAATTTAAGAACCCAGGAATATTTCAATTGATGATTATACTTCGTCACGTTACCTCATGTGGACAGGGATGGATTAAGTCATGTTAAGATAGGTTAACGCTAGGGTGTCTAATCTTCACGTGATATGATAAATCCGTCCTAGTATGGCTATGGCCTGATTACCTGTATGATTTTAAAGGTACAAACTAGTTATTTAATTCAGGTATGGATACAATCAGACCATCTGAACAAGGATTTCTTTAGTAAATCACAAACGACTGTAGTTACTACTTGCTTACTCATGCAGTCTGGGCTGTAACCTGACCAAGGTATCTGCACAGGTGTTGAACCGACAAATATGCACAGGTGTGTGGGCGTCTCTCTCTCTCTCTCTCTCTCTCTCTCTCTCTCTCTCTCATGGTCGTTGTTGTCTTAGCTGCTTAAACATTTTTACCAGTTATCTTGGTCGTTATCGTTATAATGCTCGTCATTATCGCTATCATGGCCGTCATTATCGCTATCATGGCCGTCATTATCGCTAAAACGGCCGTCATTATCGCTATCATGGCCGTCATTATCGCTATCATGGCCGTCATTATCGCTATCATGGCCGTCATTATCGCTATCATGGCCGTCATTATTGCTATCACACACAAATAGATCGCTGTCATTAATGAACGCTAGGCTAGTGGGCTCTTAATTAAGTCACAGCGCAGAGAGAGAGAGAGAGAGAGAGAGAGAGAGAGAGACCTAGTAATTGTGAGAGACAGAGAAGTATGTACTGTACGTAACCGTCTTCTGTAGAGAGATACGCACACAGACTTCTCTCCCTCCTGTACACAGAGCCCATAATCCCCTGTCTCTTATCACCGAACACCTGTTATTGATTACCTCCAGGTGAGTGAGTACCTCAGGTGAGCGTCCCGACCCTAGACCAGGTGGTGAATTTAAGAAGGAGTGATCAGGTGTGTTAATTACTTGTAGGTGTGTTGGGTGGACACCGGTAGTGCATCCGGCCAGCTGTGCGTCTGTCTCCGGTCACATCAGACGCACACACACACACACACACACACACACACACACACACACACAGTTTATGTCACTGTGTGTTTGTCTTGTATGTAACACTGCTTATGTTTCTGTGTTTATATTATGTGTACACCTAACTGATTTACATGTATTCTTTTATGTACGTAATATGTGTACACTTGTCTGGAGAACATCTTATGTGTACGCCTGACTGTATTACGTGTGTGTGTGTGTGTGTGTGTGTGTGTGTGTGTGTGTACAGTTTAACACACCAGCGTAATAATGTGAGGGACGTGAACTTTACCTCCGTATCAGTAGCCGCCTCCCTCACGTCCTTCTGATAAGGAGTTATGACTGAAGGCTTAACAAATGCATCACTGCCACACACTAAGATCCTTCCTCCACTTTAATTAACAGAATACAAAGAGGAACACCGCCTTTAAAAACCCTTCTCATGTTATTCAATTTAACACTAACTCACGGTTATATTCCGAGTATGTATATCATTTAGTTCAGGTAGTTTACAAGTTAATGAGTAAATAAGTTATAGTTAGTACTTAATAAAATGACGACTAACGTCTAGAGTCTACTTAGAATGACCAGAAAATTCACCCCTATGTTAATTCACCTGAAGATTAATCACCTCCACGCTACCTTGGGGGGCTTTGGTTAGGTTAGGTTAGTTTCTGGGTGGTTAATCTTTAAATCAGCTGGTTGAGGGGGGGGGCGGTGGCTAACCATTAACTAAACCCCTACTTAGAGCACTATGTATGACTACTTTAATTCACCTTTATTTAATATAGATTCATACAATTACAGGTAATCTACAATACGCAACAAGTAAAACTGTTCAACAATATGCAAATTAAGCCGTTGACACAGTGAGACTTTTTACCCCTATCACCCTGCCCAATAACCTCGCCTGCCTCCTAACTCCAAGCTCGGGTGTCCTCGTGCAGGTTGGCAAATCACGGGATTATTATTCTTGACTCTTTATCCCTTTCTCTGTGTATATAGTGTCCAGGGGGGAGATATATACGACAACAACAGACTCTCGTGATGTTACATAGTCATCAAACTTCCTCGTGATCACAGTATAGAAGTTGTTGTAAGAGATAAAGTGTATTGATTTAGGGATGTTAGGGCGGGGGAAAGAGGGAGGTAAGGGCCTCTGAGTTCAAGCCTTGTGAAGCTGCTGGTTATATGTGTATCGAGGGAGCTCCAGTGACACGATATACGAGGAATGAAAGATGTACCTGGGGACAAACCAAGCGGAGATGAGAAGATGAAATAGACATGTAAATGAGAGATGGAGGATTCATAATAAACGACGCAAGAAAGAGGAAACGGGAATAGAAGAGAAAAGGGAGGAGAGGGGGAAAAAGGGTGAAGAAGAATATAAGAGAGAAACTTAAGGACGTCTTGAAAGCTTAGAGACGTCATGGGAGCTTAAAGACGTCTTGGGAGCTTAAAGACGTCTTGGGAGCTTAAAGACGTCATGTAAGCTTAAAGACGTCTTGGTAGCTTAAAGACGTCAAATAAGCTTTAAGATGTCTTGGAAGCTTAAAGGCGTCATGGAAGCTTAAGGACATCTTGGAAGCTTAAAGACGTCTTGGAGGATGTCATAAGACTTACCTGGATTGTCGAGAATATAATCAACACCTCAAGTATAATGTGTGCAATGGGAAAGGCCTAGATGAACATATCCTGTCTGTTGGTGATAAACAAGAGTTCTTAATGAAATGTTTGTTTGCTTAGTCTGTGAAACTGAATCACATCATTACAATACTATTACAGATAACGTATATATTGAGTCCAAAGTCTGCAG